GAAGGTCCTGGAGGGATTAGTCCCAAAAACCTCACACGAAAATCACTCCATATGAAAGCAAAAATTTTTGGCGGAATGCAGCTTTCCCCCGAGAAATGCGGGACCGCCACGAGTACACTGGGAGACAACACAATAAGTGTCCGGGGCCCAAGACTATTCAATTGCCTCCCAGCATACATAAGGGGGATTACCAAGAGACCCCTGGCTGTCTTCAAGAAGGCACTAGACAGGCACCTAAAGTCAGTACCTGACCAACCGGGCTGTGGTTCGTACGTCAGCTTGCGTGCGGCCAGCAGTAACAGCCTGGTTGATCAGACCCTATCCACCATGAGGCCTGGTCTCAGACCGGGCCGCGGGGCCGTTGACCCCCGAAACCCTCCCCAGGTAAACTCCAGGTAAGGCTGGATCCAGAGCTAAGGAGAATGTCCTATGAAGAAAAGTTAAGGGAAATCGGTCTGATGACACTGGAGGACAGGAGGGTCAGGGGAGACATGATAACGACATACAAAACACTGCATGGGATAGACAAGGTAGACAGAGAAAGGATGTCCCAGAGATGAGACACAGAAATAAGGGGTCACAATTGGAAGCTGAAGACTCAGATGAGTCAAAGTGATGTTAGGAAATATTTCTTCAGCCATAGAGTTGTTAGGAAGTGAAATAGTCTGGCAAGCGATGTAGTGGAAGCAGGAACAATACATAGTTTTAAGACGAAGTATGATAAAGATCATGGAGCAGGGAGAGGGAGGACCCAGTAGCGGCTAGTGAAGAGGCGGGACCAGGAGCTGAGTATCGACCCCTGCAACCACAATTAGGTGAGTACACACACACACACAGAATCCAGCTCTTGGAATAATACTCACGGATATGGTCAACAGCATCTACATGTACGCCTCTAGCAAGCATGTCTTCCACAGCTTGAAGATCCCCTGCTCTTATCGCACCACACATCTCATCACCCTCTCTTGACGCTTCTGTTGGCCACGGGAAACAATAGTTAAGTAACTTGTTTTTCTCACGATTAGTGGACAGAGGATCGAGCCTCTACTCCTGGTTTGTAGATGAATGGTTCAGAGAACCGACATGTTGATAAATTAGACACATGTGCAACTCTTGGGTATCTTTATTGAGGAAACGTTTCGCCACACAGTGGCTTCATCAGTCCATACAAAGGAGAATCTTGAAGAACAAGGTTGAGGGACTGATTACCTCATTCTCCTCCTGTTCTTCAAGATTCTCCTTTGTATGGACTGATGAAGCCACTGTGTGGCGAAACGTTTCCTCAATAAAGATACCCAAGAGTTGCACATGTGTCTAATTTATCTACTCCTGGTGTTGAGAGATCCTCACGAGTTTAGCACTTCACGTGAAGTAACATGATATAAAAATATTGTTGGGTACAAAGTTGGAGTTGGTTACACTGAATATACCATTACACACATATCAAGTTATTGCCTACATTTTATAAAAGATTCAACATTATGTTTGTGGACTGGTGGTCCTTTTACAAGCAGGATATATTTACATACAGGACATGTGTTTACAGGGTGGGGATAAATGCAAGCAGCACATGTTAGGCAGGATATCACGGGCACGATATAAAAATTGTATGATCTGCCTGTACATTCATTAAGAACATTTTTATTAATAAACATACCGAGAGATGTTTATCTCTGCGCATATACACAGAGAGCATTAATGTATATACAATTAGGGGTATACATAATGTATCACGAAAAGATTACTCCCTTTAAACCAAAACTTGGAAATAGTCGTCTTTAGCGAGAAGTCGTTATAATGTCAGTTGGTTCATTACCTCTGATGCCTATCAGTAATTTCAAGGATTTGGGTGAAGGAATATGGGGAATGGGAGGTAGAAAGGTAAATAGGATGGATGATGGGGCAATGGGTGGAGAGGGACCTGGCGAGGAATAAGAACATACCTGCCAGCAGTATGAGAGTGAGAATAGCGAGTCGGTAGGTCCACATCATGGAAGCTGCAGTCATGACCATACAGCATCAGCGACACTTCCTCCAAACTATTAATACGTCACCACTGGTCTCTCACAGCTTCTCCAGTCCAGCATATGTATATATGGGAGTGGTGGTGTGGAAGGCAGACTGCAGCCCCTCCAACCAAGACAAGCTTCAACTTTTTCACCATTCACTCCAACACCGAGTTTAGTTAGTTTGATATCTTTATCTTATATTCAAAAGCATCAAAACCCATTCTATGGGTGCTAGAAAAAGGATTGCACAGACACATAATGGGTCAAAGAACTAGGTCCAAACACTTGTTCGCTAAGCAAGTTAAATTGGTAATCAACTCTTGCAAATCTATTGACATCCACCACAAAAAAAAAAAACATTATTATGAAGCTCCCTGTAGTTATTATTCACAGTACCCAGTATTTACCAAGATATGGTGGAATTTTAGAAAGTTAAAGTGGTTACGAATTACGTAGTTTAAAGAGAGGCAAAGGTCAGGGTATATTTCCCAAGGAAGGGAAGGCTAGCTCAAATTCTCTTGATCAAGAGAAATTCACAACAGGCAGACAGCAAGGCTTACATTCAATTCCTTGTGCAACTTAATGTACAGCGTAGCAATAGCAGGAGATGCCACCACCGACAAGGACACACACTGAGTCAGTGCTGGATGTCAAAACTATGCTTATCTAGAGTCACTGTCAGTACATACGCACTACAGAAGCACCCTAACCATGCCACATGCACGCAGTCTGACGCAATATATTAATCTGTGTCTACTAGTGCAGATACTGGACAATCGTAATAGTATTGTTCCAGACTATGGAACAATGCTCTTCTCCAGACTGAGGGACTGACCACCTCAAAACTTTAAGGATGATTGACTGATTACATAAGAACATAAGAAAGGAGGAACACTGCAGCAGGCCTGTTGGCCCATACTAGGCAGGTCCTTTACAATTCATCCCACTAACAACATTTGACCAACCCAATTTTCAATGCCACCCAAGAAACAAGCTCCGATGTGCAAGTCCCTCTCAAATCCAACCCCTCCCACTCATGTACTTATCCAACCTAAATTTGAAACTACCCAAAGTCCCAGCCTCAATAACCCAACTAGGTAGACTGTTCCACTCATCAACTACCCTATTTCCAAACCAATACTTTCCTATGTCCTTTCTAAATCTAAACTTATCTAATTTAAATCCATTACTGCGGGTTCTCTCTTGGAGAGATATCCTCAAGACCTTGTTAATAATCCCCTTTATTAATACCTATCTTCCACTTGTACACTTCGATCAGGTCTCCCCTCATTCTTCGTCTAACAAGTGAATGTAACTTAAGAGTCTTCAATCTTTCTTCATAAGGAAGATTTCTAATGCTATGTATAAATTTAGTCATCCACGCTGAATGTTTTCTAACGAATTTATGTCCATTCTGTAATATGGAGACCAGAATTGAGCTGCATAATCTAGGTGAGGCCTTACTAATGATGTATTAAGCTGCAGTATGACCTCTGGACTTCTGTTGCTTACACTTCTTGATATAAATCCCAGTAATCTATTTGCCTTATTACGTACGCTTAGGCATTGCTGTCTTGGTTTAAGGTTGCTGCTTACCATAACCCCCAAGTCCTTTTCGCAATCTGTATGGCTAAGTTCTACATTATTTAACTTATAAGTGCTAGGGTTATGGACACTCCCGAGCTTCAGAACCTTGCATTTATCTACATTGAACTGCATCTGCCACTTTTCTGACCAAGAGTAGAGTTTGTCTAAATCCTCCTGAAGTTCCCTACCTGGAGTTTACCTGGAGAGAGTTTCGGGGGTCAACGCCCCCGCGGCCCGGTCTGTGACCAGGCCTCCTGGTGGATCAGCGCCTGATCAACCAGGCTGTTGCTGCTGGCTGCACGCAAACCAACGTACGAGCCACAGCCCGGCTGATCAGGAACTGTCTTTAGGTGCTTGTCCAGTGCCAGCTTGAAGACTGCCAGGGGTCTGTTGGTAATCCCCCTTATGTGTGCTGGGAGGCAGTTGAACAGTCTCGGGCCCCTGACACTTATTGTATGGTCTCTTAACGTGCTAGTGACACCCCTGCTTTTCATTGGGGGATGGTGCATCGTCTGCCAAGTCTTTTGCTTTCGTAGTGATGATTTTCGTGTGCAAGTTTGGTACAGTCCCTCTAGGATTTTCCAGGTGTATATAATCATGTATCTCTCCCTCCTGCGTTCCAGGAATACAGGTTTTAGAAAACCTCAAGCGCTCCCAGTAATTGAGGTGTTTTATCTCCGTTATGCGCCCGTGAAAGTTCTCTGTACATTTCTAGGTCGGCAATTTCACCTGCCTTGAAAGGTGCTGTAGAGTGCAGCAATATTCCACCTAGATAGAACAAGTGACCTGAAGAGTGTCATCATGGCTTGGCCTCCCTAGTTTTGAAGGTTCTCATTATCCATCCTGTCATTTTTCTAGCAGATGCGATTGATACAATGTTATGGTCCTTGAAGGTGAGATCCTCCGACATAATCACTCCTAGGTCTTTGACGTTGGTGTTTCGCTCTATTTTGTGGCCAGAATTTGTTTTGTACCTGATGAAGATTTAATTTCCTCATGTTTACCATATCTGAGTAATTGAAATTTCTCATCGTTGAACTTCATATTGTTTTCTGCAGCCCACTGAAAGATTTGGTTGATGTCCGCCTGGAGCCTTGCAGTGTCTGCAATGGAAGACACTGTCATGCAGATTCGGTGTCATCTGCAAAGGAAGACACGGTGCTGTGGCTGACATCCTTGTCTATTCGGATATGAGGATGAGGAACAAGATGGGAGCTAGTACTGTGCCTTGTGGGACAGAGCTTTTCACCGTAGCTGCCTCGGACTTTACTCTGTTGACGACTACTCTCTGTGTTCTGTAGTGAGGAAATTATAGATCCATCGACCGACTTTTTCCTGTTATTCCTTTAGCGCGCATTTTGTGCGCTATTACGCCATGGTCACACTTGTCGAAGGCTTTTGCAAAGTCTGTATATATTACATCTGCATTCTTTTTGTCTTCTAGTGCATTTAGGACCTTGTCGTAGTGATCCAGTAGTTGAGACAGACAGGAGCGACCTGTTCTAAACCCATGTTGCCCTGGGTTGTGTAACTGATGGGTTTCTAGATGGGTGGTGATCTTGCTTCTTAGGACCCTTTCAAAGATTTTTATGATATGGGATGTTAGTGCTATTGGTCTTCGTGTCATCGGCGAATTTGCTCATATCACTAGTAATTCCTTCATCAAGATCATTGATATATATTATAAACAACAACGGGCCCAAGACTGATCCCTGTGGAACCCCACTTGTTACTGATCCCCACTCGGATTTAACCCCATTTATGGACACTCTCTGCTTCCTGTCTGTGAGCCATGATTCGATCCACGAGAGCACCCTTCCCCCAATGCCATGAGCTGCTACTTTCTTCAACAGTCTTTGGTGCGGAACTCTATCAAATGCCTTACTAAAATCTAAGTAAACAATATCAAATTCTTTATCGTGGTCAACAGCCTCAAAAGCTTTACTGAAGAAAGTTAATAAATTAGTTAGACAAGACCGGCCTCTTGTGAATCCATGCTGAGTATCATAATCAAGCATGCTTATCGAGATGGCTTCTATAATCTCAGCTATAATTGACTCTAGTAATTTGCCTACAATTGAGGTCAGGCTACTGGGCGGTAATTTGACGGTAACGACTTGTCCCCTGTTTTTAAAAATAGGAATTACATTAGCCATCTTCCACATATCAGACACTACACCTGTTTGAAGAGATAAATTAAAAATATTAGTTAATGGTTCACAGACTTCCATTTTGCATTCCTTAAGAACCCTTGAAAAAACCTCATCAGGACCCGGTGACTTATTTTGCTTCAGTCGGTCTATCTGCTTCACAACCATTTCACTAGTGACTGTGATGTTACATAATTTATCTCTTCTGATCCACTATAAAAATTAATTACCGGAATATTATTAGTGTCTTCCTGTGTAAAAACCGAGAGAAAATAATTATTTAAAATCGAGCACATTTCATTCTCTTTGTCAGTAAGATGCCCATAGTTATTTTTAAGGGGACCTATCTTATCTCTGACTTTTGTCTATAGACCTGGAAAAAACTTTTTGGGTTAGTTTTAGAATCCCTAGCAACTTTAATTTCATAGTCCCTTTAGCTTTTCTTATCCCCTTTTTAATGTCCCTCTTAAATGTCAATATACTGATTCATAAGATGACCCTCGCCTCTTTTGATACGTCTATAAAAATTCCTTTCTTATGCCCTAGTAGATATTTCAGCCTATTATTCATCCATTTTGGGTCATTTCTATTTGATCTAATTCCTTATAAGGGATAAACGTTCTTTGAGCAGCATGTATTGTGTTCAGAAAACTGTCATATTGATACTCTCTTCGTTACCCCAGTCAACAATGATAAGTGTTCTCTAAGCCCATCGTAATCTGCTAAGCGAAATCTGGGACTGTTACTGAGTTATCCCTACTATCATACTTCCATTTAATTCTAAATGTAATTGATTTGTGGTCGCTAGCACCCAGTTCCTCTGAAATTTCTAAAATTATTAACAAGGGATTCATTGTTTGCCAGAACTAAGTCAAGCAGGTTTTTACCCCTTGTAGGTTCTGTCAAAAAACTGCTTTTAAAAAACAATCCCGAACTACTTCTAAGAAATCGAATGATTCTAAATTCCCAGTCAAGAAATTCCAATCAATATGACTAAATTAAATCCCCCTAGAATTACTACATTATCTTTCCTTTTTGGGCCCCAACAAATTTCCCCCCATAGTAATCCCCCTGGTCCATTAAAAAAATTTTGGGGGGCGGGATAATCACACCTAAAAATTTAATTTTTTATCCCCTCTGAAAAATTTTATCCAAACAACTCCCCCAAATTTTTTCTTCAACTTAATAACCCCCTTTTTTTTTTGCAACAGTTCAAGGATCCGGGCATACAATGCCACCCCACCCCCCTTCCTGAAACTTCTATCAACTTGGAACAATTTAAAACCCTGAATGTGACATTCTGCAGGCATGTCCGATTTTTTTGAATTAAACCACGTCTCAGTAAGGCAAATACATCTATGTTACCTGCACTAGCAACTAGTCTCAACTCGTCCATCTTATTCCTAGCACTGCGACTATTTGTGTAATAAATATTTAATGACCCTCCTCTCTCTTTACCCTTCCTGGTCCTTTCTGTTATTCCACTAAACCTATTACTGTCCCTGTCAATTAAGTGCCACTGGCTTTCCAATATCCACCTCATTTTGCCTATTACTAGTTCTCCTAGTACTCATGTTACTACCCTGCGATTTCACAGTTTTCCCGCCAAAACCCATACCACTAACTATTCCTAGTTTAAAGACCTAACAGCTCCCTCCACTGCGTTGGCCATGGCTCCCACCCCACACCTAGATAAGTGAACCCCATCCCTGGCATACATGTCATTTCTGCCATAGAAGAGGTCCCAGTTGTCAATGAATGTTACCGCATTTTCCTTACAGTATTTGTCCAGCCAGCAATTGACACCAATTGCTCTGGACAAACCATTCATTTCCAACTCCTCTCCTTGGCAAAATGCCACATATGACAGGTTTTCCCACCCTTCCTCCTAATTATCTCTATTGCTGACCTATACCTGCTAATCAGGTCCT